CCCATTGTGATTTACGGTAGCTCTCGTGTTTGCCGCCCGCTCACGCGCTAACACACACACACACACACACACACACACATGCCACATGTTCTTATTCACCAATTATTTTTGTAGTTGTGATTGATGAGGCTGCTGCCATTCCACTCCCACTGGTCAAGGACCTCATGGGCCCTTACATTGTCTTTATGGCGTCAACTATCAACGGGTAAGCACACACACGCACGTTGCAGCTATCATTTGTGTGTTAAACGTGTCTGCGGAAGCAAACACAGAACTAGCTGACACGCCCCCATCACCACCATCAATGATCACGATCAAGAGAGCGCTCGCATTCTGCTCACGGCCACGCGCTTGTATGTGTGTGACGTGTTTGTGTTGTGTCGTTGTTGTACAGCTATGAGGGTACTGGACGCTCGCTGTCACTCAAACTGATCCAGCAGCTACGCAAGCAGGCTGGTGTGGCAGCATCAAAGGGCGCCACGCACTCCAAGCTCCGCGAGCTCACCCTTGACATCCCAATCAGGTTTGTGACACACACACACACACACACACACACACACACACACACACACACACACACACACACACACACACACACACACACACACACACACGGGGATGTGATGCAGAACGTTTTCAAGTTGACAGAACATATCACGTGTTGAATGTCAAAACAATTTTCACCATCTATCGGCTGATCCCCGTTGTCATGTCGCGTGCGCTCCCTCGCGCACAATCATTACGTCGCTTCCGCTCACCAACACACGTTCACTGTCTCCTGGTCGCCGTCTACAAACCCCTTACTTTTATGCTCGCACACGCACGCACACACACAGGTATGCTGCCAACGATCCCGTGGAGGCGTGGCTTAACGGCCTGCTGTGCCTTGACAGCACCATCGCGCCGCCGTCTGCTGGCGCCTGCCCGCACCCGTCCGCGTGCGACCTCTACTCCATTGACCGCGACACGCTCTTTTCCTACAACAAGGTCTCCGAAGTGTTCCTGCAGCGCATGGTTGCCCTCTACGTCGCATCCCACTACAGAGTACGTCCATCACAACTGCCACCATACCAAACACATCGTTGTTGCGCGTTGTTGCTGTTGTTGTTGTCGTCGTCGTCGTCGTCTTTGCTGTTGTTGTTGTCGCTGCTGTTGGATGCTTGCTTGCTTTGCTGAATGAAAACACCTGTGTTTTTGTCTCTTGGCCCACCCTTGAGGTGCTATGATGATGACTAGTTCAAATTTACTTAGACATGCAACTGAATCATTCTTGATGATCTCTTGGCAATGTCTGAGTACCTCAAAACCCTCCCTCCCTTGGCGGCCCACACCCTTACTCGTTTGAATGTGTCTCCTCTGAGCTTGTTGAATCGTCGTCGATCGCACTTTGCATCCACTTGTCCAGCGCTCACGCCTCCCACATGCATGTGCCCGTTGCCACACCACCAGAACACGCCCAACGACCTGCAGCTGTTGTCGGATGCACCCGCGCACCGAGTCTTCTGCCTCCTCGCCCCAATCACCAACCCACAGGAACTCCCAGAGATCCTCTGCGTCATCCAGGTATGCCCGTGCGCTTCTCTGTGCTGGTGTGCGTTGGTGTACGTGTGTGTGTTTGTTGGTGTGTTGGTGTGGCTTGTGTCGCGCGATTGTGATGCCTGCTGTACACTCTGACACATTACTTTGCCATCGACGCTCATCTGCGTTACCTGGTTTTTCCCACCCCCGATTTTCTCAGGTTGCCCTGGAAGGTGAGATTTCGGCCAAGACGGTCAGAGCGACACTGAAACAAGGCATCAAGCAGGCTGGTGACCTCATTCCTTGGACAATTTGCCAACAGGTATGCCTCGCTCGTGGTGCCCAAGTGCTGACGTTTCTGATGACGATTGTTGGTTGCGTGCACCTGGAGTATCAATTGGCGCATGCCCTCCATGATATGTTTCGTGTCTCACTGTGTGTGTGCTTGTCTTTCTGTCAGTATCAAGATGACGACTTTGGCCAACTGTCGGGTGCTCGTATCGTTCGAATCGCCACCCATCCTGGTGAGTTTAGCACCGTGTGTGTGTGTGTGTGTTTGTCTGTCTGTGTCCGTGTGTATTCGTGTGTTCTCATCGCAGAACAATGTGTGCCATCATGCCGCGTGATGTGTGCCATCATGCCAGGCCATTCCCAGTCACTGACTCATGCGCTTGCACATCTGCATGCACAACACCCAACAAACACGCTGTACAGACTATCAGGGCATGGGTTATGGAAAGCGCGCCATTGAGCAACTGAAGGCGTTCTATGACGGCAAACTTCTGGAGTGAGTCCATCTTCCCTTAAATGCGTGCTTCTTTCTTTCGCTGGCTGGTGACCGCATCTGTGCGTTGTGCCTGTGTTTGCGTTTTCTCCACTGTGCACTCATCGGTGTTCCATCCACCTCCATCTGATATGGTGCAGCCTCTCTGAATCTGGCACGCGCGAGAAGATTGAGGCCCACAGCTTGGAACTTCATGAGGGTAATGAATGCGTGTTGTTGTTGCATCAACCGGCTTCGTCTGGACCACCTACCTCCGTTGCTCTCCGAACATGTTCCGTTTATTTCGCACATGTCGCCATCCCCCCCCCCAGTATTTCCTCTCTGCTTCCTTCCTCCCCTCCCCCCTACCCTAATCCTGCACTTCCCTTGCTGAGAAGACGCGATCGAGCCGGGCGCAGCTGCCACGCCACACCTTTGTGTGGCCGTGTGCTTCAAGGCCCCTCAATGACGATTGCGACACGGCGAGCCACCCAGTGGCGGGGAAGAAGAACAATCCTCACTGTGCCCCGCCTTTTTTTTGCGCGCGATGCCTCCCATCATCTACCCCATGTGCTGTCGCTTCCATGTGACGCACGTGTGGTGGCTTTGATGATGTGTCGTTTGGGCTTGGTGTACTCGGGGGCTCTTGGTGTCGGTGTTCACTTGCTTCGTCAAGTGATTCATGAGGCTGCTGAACCACTTTCCTAATGTTCCCTGGCATGCCCTCACGCCGATGCGTGCCCCCACAAACCCTACTCTTCACCACCTCTTGCTTCTCTCCCTTTTCCTTTCCTTTCTTGCCTTCTTCCGTGCCGTTGTGTGTTTCTCTCATTTGTTGTACTGTCTTTCCTGTGTTTTCATTCCATCGCACCCTGGTATGCCCTCACACTTGCGGCGCTGTGTGCTGCTGTCCCCGCCTTTCCTTTCCCTCGTTTGCCACACCAGAGGACCACGAGTCGCTGACGCCGCGGAAGAACCTTCCACCGCTCATTCGCAAGCTGGACGAGCTTGAGCCGGATACGCTCGACTATCTTGGCGTGTCATACGGCGCCACGCCTTCCCTCTACAAGTTCTGGAAGAAGTGCGGGTTTGCGCCCTTCTACATGCGTCAGACCGCTGTGAGTTGCATGTCCTCTTCGTGGTCGTCGTATGGTGCTTGTGCGTGTGTGCGTGTGTGTGTGTGTGTTCTCGCTTGTGCGTACGTACGTCGGCAGTCGTCCTGCTCTGATGGCTTTCTTGGTTTGTTGTTACGATGCTTCCTTCCCACCCCGCTCTCCTTTCGTTGTTTACGGTGACGGGTTGCTCTATCGCCCTTGCTCACGTGTGTTCGCGCTGTTGAATGATGCAGAACGATCTTACTGGCGAGCACACGTGCATCATGCTCAACCCGCTGGAGACAGCGCGCCTGAACGGCAAGTGGCTTCGCTCCTACTGGCTCGATTTCCAGCAGCGTTACATGGTCCTCCTTGGCTCTGCCTTCCGCGTAAGTTCTCGTGTTTTGTTTGTGTCAGTGTGAGGGGGCGGGTAGAACACGTATCTATTGTGTTCATTTGTCACGTGCGTGTTGTGTATATATGTGAATGTTCGCCAACCAACAATGTGCATTCATCAAAGTGTGAGCGATTGGCAACCTCACCGCGTGTGTTCTCACTTTTCCTTTTCGCTCTCGTTTCGTTTGCACGCATGCGCTTGCTCATGTCATGTCAGCATTTTCCGCCGGCACTCGGTCTTGGTGTTCTCGAGCCCGTCCCATGTGTTTCCCTGGAAGATGACGAAGAAGAGGAGCAGAAACGTGAGTGACACAGGACAGCATACGCCATGCTGTATATGCGCAAGCGTGTGTGCGTGTGCGTGTGTGTAACTATGTACGCGCCTCTGTCTTGTGCTTGTATATGTCTATGGCATGATCGCACCTTTTGTGTTGGCTGCTTGGTTGTGTCAGCTCTAGCTCACATGCAGCCACTCCCTGATCTGCGTGATGCTATCATCTCAACCCGCGCTCCTCACTACAGATTTGCTGACAGTCGATGAGCTGATGACGCATTTCACGCCACACGATCTCAAGCGCCTCCAGGCATATGTCAACCAGATGGCGGACTTCCACATCATCCTCGACCTCGTTCCACGCGGTTCGTGGCTGCGGCGGTGTTGTGATGCGTGTGCGTGTGTCTGTGATTTGGTTGTTTGGTTAGGTTACGTAGTACCTGCCAACCGCCTTTGTGCCGGTATGATTTGGTCGCACGCACACTTACAGGTGGTCACCTTTGTTATTTGCTCGCTCTCTGTTGTAGCTGCACGATTGTTCTTCACCCAGAAGCTGCCGGTGCGCATCTCGCCAGCGCAGCAGGCCATCTTGCTTGGCCTGGGTCTCCAACACAAGGTGGGCGACCTTGCAACTTCTGGGTTAATGCTGCTGCTCTTCTTGCTGTGTGCCGCTCGCTTGCCACGTGCATGTATGCTTGCGTTGTGGTGTATCACCTGAGCCGTTCGCACATTCACACACACACGCACACGCACAGACGATTGAGGACCTTGAGAAGGGCATGGGTCTTGGCTCGGCGCAGCTGCTTGGTGAGTAGTTCTTAATCGCACTGTGCGTGTGTTTTGATGGTCATGTTCGTCGTCCTTGTGTACCGTCGCTCACAGCTGTGTGTGTGTGTGCAACTTTGACCAGGGCTGTTCCGGCGTGCCGTTGAACAAATCAACAAGGCGTTTAGGCGCCTCCGGGAAAAGCACATTGAGGCACAGCTGCCAAAGACACGGGTGAGTCAGCCTTTGTTGTTGCGCTCTCGATTGTGGTGTCTTGTTTGCTTCCTTGCATGGCTCGTGCTCCCATGACAACAGCGTCTTGCGGATTTGGTGCTAAAATTCACTTCACGCTCATCGTTTTGTGTACAAATACCGCACGCACGCGCGCGCACACACACACACACACGCATGCAGCTTGAGTTTGCTGGCGAGGCTGTTGAGGAGAACCTTGAAGAGCAGCTGGAGGAGGCTGGTCGCGAGGAGATGAAGAAGCTGGAGGAGGAAGAGCACACCGAACAAGTCGACCAGGAGCGAAGAGAGCTGTACGTGTGTGTGCGTGAATGCGTGCTCAAAGGCTTATTTTGTTTTGTCGTGCTTGGAACAGAATCGAAGCTCATGCTGTTGTTGCATTTTTCCTTGCTTCTCTCACGTCGGCTCACTTGATGACGCAACAGGCTGCTGCAAACGTTCTCCAAGTACTCGATTGACGTGGATGATGAGACGTTCGAGAAGGTATATGCTTTGTGTGTGTGTGTGTGTGTGTGTGTGGTCATCAAGTACGCAGACTGAACAGGCTTGCTCGTGTCCGGCGTGATTAAGCACGAATATCTCACGTGCGTGTGTTTGCTGTGTTCGCATGTTCGATCCATCTCTCTCTTCGCTTTGATGCAGGCTGTGAGTGGCAAGACCGAAGTCAGTCGCGTCAGCATTCCAAGGAAGCAGGAACTCAAGCCCGCGGTACGTTTGCATGGGTCTGCAAAGTCACGCGTGCTTCCGCACACTCGCACGCCCCTTTATCCTTGCCGTATTCCGACACATGTGTGTTGTTGATTCTCATTCTCCATCTCTCATTGTCACACTCACACTCGCCCACACACTTGCTCACGCGACCACTGATACAGGGAGAGGACGATGGCGCGAAGAGGCGCGCTGACGACGATGCTGACGAGTTTGACATGAAGGGGAAAAAGGCGAAGAAGGGCAAGAAGTCGAACAAGAGCACACCGAGCAAGAAGGGCAAGAAGGGAACACCGAGCAAGAAGGACAAGGGCACGCCTGGGAAGAAGAAGAAGGGCGGAAAGAAGGGCGGGCGGCAGTAGGCAGCAGCAGCAGCTTGCCAGGCTACAGCACGATTTTATTTTTGTTTTGCTGGAAGCACTTCCTTTTCAACTTGTCTCGCTTCGCCTCACCTGTTGTTCATAATTTTCTTTCGACCATTCATTTGCCATAGTGTACAAACGAGGTTGCGCCTCTGTAGTTTCGACTTTGTATCTGTTCAGGACTAAAAGACTTGTTTCACTCGAGATTAAACCCAGTTCCACCGAAAGACTAAACCCACGTTTTCCCGCCAAAACGCCACTCACCCCTGCTTTGGCCTGCACACCAGCCCCCAGCATTCATTGTCTCAGTGGCTTACTTCCTTCCCCCTCTCCCTTCCCTTCTGTCACTGACCTTGTGTTCAACTCCCTCACCCCTTCTAACCCTTCCATCACTTCACCACCTGCACCCGTTGTGAGGGTGCCATCCTCCCTCATCCCTCCTCCCTCGTTCCCGGTACCAGGGTACCTTCCGTTTCCTCGTTCCACACAGACACACATCACCATGCAGCGCGTTCGCACGGTGCAGGCTGAGATGAGCCGCCTGCAGCACCAACACCACCAACACCACCATGACAGCAAAACACTCTCCGCATATGACCTCAACCATGGCCTGAAACAGCTGCAGCGGCACCGCAAGCAGCTTGAGACCAAACTCAGCTCTGCCGAGGAGCAGGTCAAACACCTCACCGACACCATCGCAACCATTGAAAAGTCCAGGCGTTCCTTGCAAGTGAGTTTCTGGCGCTGCGCACGATTGCTACCGCTGCTGTCGTGTTGTGCAGTGAGCAAGGAAGTCATGCCCATACCGTTGCATTTGCAAACATCGCCATTGCTTTGCACTGTCACGCAACACCATGACGTTGTCCACTCTCATCGTCCCTGGTTACCTCTGTTTATTCGTATCTCACAGCGCCAGAATGACAAGTTGGATGCCGACCTGCGAATGCGAGAGAGCGAATTGGAGACCTTTGCTCGAAAGGTGAGATACCTGCGTGCACTGCTGCATGAATGTATCTGTGTTGCTAGTGCACTTGCGAGAACTTCCACGGGTTGAACCCGTGGAATCAAGTCATCGACAGAGCCAGAGCCTTCTCCTGCTGTTCTTGGCACCGTTTCACATGCATGTACGCTCACCTCTCACTCCAACACCCGCCTTGCCCCACGCCATGCATGTGTCACGCTTGCAGTTTGACTTTGTCAAGACGCACACTCATATGGCTGTCGCCACGAGCGAGGATTGCCGCAAGCTCTTCGACACGCTGTCAGCCTTCAAGGCTGACATGGAAACCACCATTCAGCAACAGGACGATGAGCTGGATGAAGTTCGCGCCAGCTATAAAGCGCTTGCAGGTGTGATGGCTCAGTTGTTTGCTTGCACTGTTTGGCCCTCTTCTTTGACAAGAGGGGCATTGCTGGGCTTCGTGGTAAGGGGAACATCCCACCGGGGCCAGCCTAGTTGCGAAGGTTGCTGGGTGTTGTGCCCTTGCTGCTTTTTTGCCGCCAGTGTTGTGCTGTTGCTGCTCGCCAACTTGCCCGCCGCTGCTTCGAGACCCGCGAGATGTTTGGTGTCGACCGACTCACCCGTGTGCTCTGGGTTATTCGTTCACTTGCTTGCAGAATCCAAGCAGGAACTGACGGCTGCCAAGGCGACCCTCATGGCGCGCGTGGAGGAGCTTGAGCAAGCCTTGCAGGCGCAGAAGAAGACGCTGAATGAAGCGCTGCTCGCCAAGCAGCGGGAGGTTGAGGCCTTGGATCAGCGTCTCGCAAACACCAACACTCAGCTCACCAACACCAAAGGTAACACAGAGCAACTCTGCCATTGTCTGTGAAGACAGCCTTGGGGTTGATGTGCAACAGCATGCCAGGAGGGAGACAGGGGCCGAGAGCCCCATGGTGATGTACCTTCTCTGTCGCCATTCGCCATGCCAGCTTACCATCATGTGTTCAATTGGAATCATCCTCGGCATGTACCTCACAACACACACATACACACACATTCACACATTCACACTTACACACTCTTACACACACACTCACACACACTCCCTCTCTTTGTCTCGACTTGTTCGCGACTCCCTTCTTGGACAGAGGAGCTGCAGGCTTGGAAATACAAACATGACAAGGCCACGAGCGACATTGAGGGCCTGAAGAGCCGCCTTGAAGCGACTCAAACTCAACTCAGTGACTCACGTGACGAATCCCAGCAGCTACAAGCGAAGCTTGCCAAAGCCAAAGGTGCGCCGCTTTGATATTGACTCTGCTGTGTCCAGTCGTCTGTTGGTACAGTCTTTCCTCACAGGATCTGACGTTAGTCTTTTCCCCCTGCCGCTCTGCTTCTTGCATGCATCCGCTCTTCACGCTATCTCGCCCTGGTTCTGGGTTGCATACGCCACCACCCTCCTTTCCATCTGTACATGCAACGAATTACAGAGGAGCATGCAAAGGAGCTGGAAGCCGCTCGGCAAGCAAAAGACGCTGCCGAGGCTGACCTGAATGCCCAGCTGGGTACGGCTCAGGCCAGCCTACAGGCCAGCAACGACGAGCTGGCCAAGCTGAAAGCGCACTGGTCTGCCAACGCCAGCGCCTGGACAGCACAGGCACAGGATCACGCCCTCGCCTTGGACGCTCTCAGCGTCGTCATCCAGCAGCAAGACCGCAACCTGCTGCAGTCTCGTAAGCAGCATCACGATGCAACTGCCACCATCACTTCACTGCAAGGTCGGTACCCCTGCCTGTGCAAGGTGTAGTGTGGGCGGGCTTCTCAGCGAAAGTGGTCCGCAAGCCTTGAGTCTTCCCTTTCGAGCCTCACAGCATGACCGCGGCTGTCTCTCACCATACACACACATGCACACGCACACACACACACATGCACACAACACCACACCACACACACACACACACACACACACACACATGCACACAACACCACACCACACACACACACACAAACACACACACATACTCTCTCGCGCTGCGAAATGTGAAGATGTGTTGGGCAAGGCCAAAGGCAACGTGGAAGAGCTCACGGCGGCACTCAAGCAAGCAACCGACGAAGGCGCAAAGCTTCAAAAAGCGGTCAGCGAGAAGGACACGCTCATCACTGCAAACCATGAGCGCATCGCGGCGCTGGAACAGCAGGTGCTCGCAATGCAAGGTACGTACACGACCGTGGTTGAGGCCTGGTGCCGGTCTAGCCTTGACACAGTTGCATTCACACAGCTGCATTCACACGCGCACACTCAGTTGTATCCACACGCGCACACGCAGTTGTATCCACACACACACCAGATAGACAGACAGACAGACAGAGAGACGCACACACTCACACAGAGAGACGCACACAAAGGAACGAGTCACAACTTACCACCCTTTCCTTGTGCAACTGGCGTGACAGAGGAAAAGGCAAAGCACGCCAAGGCAATGGAGGAATCAGTCACACAGGCACAGCAGGAGTGCCGTGATTTGGAGAACAGGCTCAAGGAGATTGAGGCCACCTTCAAAGAAGCAACTGAGGTCAGGGGCATATGTTGCGGGGCAAGGGAATTGGCTGCTAAGGGGTGACAGGGAGGATGGAGAGAGGGTCAGCAAAGTTGTGCTGAGGAGAATCACCCGACACTCGCACCTACACATGCGGCAAGCGTGATCCACTCGTTCACATGAAACCACCCACACCCACCCACACCCACCCACCCACCCACCCACCGACCCACCGACCCACACACACACCCACCCACCCACCGACCCACCGACCCACACACACCCACCCACACACACACACACACACACACACACACACACACACACACACACACACACACACACACACACACACACACACACACACATCCCACTTCCGGTAGGAACTGTCGGCCAAGCTGAAGGTGCAGACGGAAGCGAGCACTGCGCTGGAGAAGCAGGTGCAGGAGAAGGAGGCCAAGCTGGCAGAGGTGGAGAGCACGCTCGCTGCCACACAAGAGGCACGCGACAAAGGTAAAGCCGGTCAGGACGAGCTGCAGGCCACTGTTGCCAAGCTGCAAGCAGAGCTTCTGGAGGCCAAGGCCATCAAGGAGCAAGATGCCATGTGGAAGGACAAGGCTGAGGACTTTGAGGCGCAGTGTACAGCTCTACAGGCGGAGGTGAAGCGAGTGACGGAAGCAAAGGAGGTCGCTGCGCGCAAGATGGGCTCCGTCCTCGACAAGCATGCGGTGTGTAAAACAAGGAGGAGGAGAGAAAGGGAGACAGCTTGCGTGTGTGTGTGTGTATGAACACGTGTGCTGCTGCGCAATGACGGTGGGCATGAGAGGGTCAGGGAAGAACTCCCTTCGACACCTACCTTGTCCCATAGCAAACACACACACACACACACACACACACACACACACACACACACACACACACACACACACGCACACACACACACACACACACACACACACACGCACGCACATAGCTGGAAGCCAAGCGTGCCAAGGAAGACCTTGCGAAGGAGAAGCAGATCGTGGCTACACTGAAGAAAGAGCTCGAGGAAGCTGTTGCCAAAGCCAGCAAGTTTGAACTCATGGCTGAAGCGGCAGACAAAGCAGTACCGCCCGCAGCTTCGCCCAGCACCACTTCTCGTGCCACTGCGCACACACCTCGCACACCTTGCACCCCACGCACGCCCCTCGCTCCCCACACACCGCGTGCCAAAACCAAACGCCAGCCCGTCTCCCCAGACTCGCCTCCAAGCTCTGCGTCCGACAGCGAAGCCAAGGTAACAAGACATGGACCCCCGTGCAAAAGTAACGAGAACAACACATGTCCCCCAACACCAAAACACACACACACACACACATACACACACACACACACACACACACACACACGCGCGCGCGCGCGCGCACAACACACACACACACACGCATACACTCACTGTTGCGATGCATGCGCTGGATGCTGCCCAAACAGGATGATGTGGCAGTGGAGCCACCGAAGCCACGGTCGACTCCAAGCACAGTTGCGCCGAGTTTCCCCGTGCCAGCGCGGAAGAAGGTCAGCAAAACCCCGCGCGCGAGCCAGCAGCAAACGCGTCGCAAGGCTGCTGCAACCCCCAAGACGCCAAGTACGCCACGGACGCGCAAGCGCACCACCACATCAACACCGAAAGCGCCCGTTGCCGCCACGCCAAAGCCAACCAGCACACCGCGCGGCAAACGCACCTCCGCAACGCCCAAGCTCGCCTCCAAGGCGCCCAAACGACGCACCAAGGTAAGCCAGCCGCTCCACACACACACACACACACACACACACACACACACACACATGTCACATGATATGGAGGGTGGAGTGGGTCTAATCACAAACCAAGACAGAAGCCCATGCAAGGGTGAACACACCAACACAAGGGTGGCGGAAAAGGAATCAAGAATGTTTGTAACTCACGCAATGATGGTGCATGCTTGTTTGCAATGCACATGGAATGGACAGGATGTGGCACGAGTGCAAGAGGCGGACGAGTATGCTTTTGCAGATGCAGAGAAGACGCCATCGGCGTCGAGGTTCTCACGGCACCGCAGCCGCCGCGCCATCGCCCCAGCGCTTCCGCGCAAGGAGCAGCAGCAGCAGTGGGACTTCATGTTTGGCTTTGCGCCATCGTCTCCATGATCTGTCATCGTTTGCTCAAATCTGGTGATGTGATTGGGATGTCACGCAACAGAAAGATCTTCGCGTCAGCAACAACTTTGTGCGTGCGTGCGTGTGTGTGTGTGTGTGTCTGTGTGTGTGTGTCTGTGTGTGTGGAAAGATTGTGTGTGTGGAAAGACCAAAGAGCGAGCAGAAAGTAAACATTGAATGTACCGTGAGCTGGTGCTTGTCCAAGTCTTCTTGAAGCTGTGCCACCTTCTCCTCAAGCCTTGCGACCTTTGCTTCCAATTCCTGCGCGTGTGTGCATGCATGTACAATGGCGGGCGCAAGTGGAACAGTGAAAAACACGCGGGATTGTGATGCAGCCACATGTACGAACACAACGCACGCACACACAGACACAGAAACACACATACACACATACACACACACACACACGTTGCATGGACTTGAGCAATAGTGCCCAGCATCCAAGTCTCAAAAATACGAACGTGGTTTGCACGTTGGGTGGAGGAAAGGTCGAGTTCCTTCTGGGACAGTGACGATTTGCATGTCTGAAGCTCCTCATCCTTCTCTGAAATTTGCCCCTACCAATGAACGCAAACAAGATGGAACACATCAATGGTGTGTGGCGTTTGGTTGCTGTCACAATTTGGCACCCCCACCGTGCTTGCATCACGCGTGCTTGCGGGGTGTTCACATTTGCATGCATTCACACCAGCACGCACCTTGAGCGTGTTGACTTCGCTCTGAAGAACGGTGCACTTGCTGGAGAGATCCCCAAACTGCTGCTGAAACTCTGTGACAGACAATTCCAACAGCATGCACCATCCACCATCATCAGCATTACAGCAAAGACCGAAGCACACAACGCAAGACGTGTCCTTCCAAGCAGCGGTCACTAGTGTATTTCCGAACGAACAAAGGAAGCTCTCCCCAAAACAAACAAAAAAACAGCCCATCGCATGTGCATATCCACCGTGCAATTGTTTGGTTTTCGTGGTCGTGTTCTCCGTCTCCACTTCAAGCGCTCGCGTCAGGTCCTCAACCTACAGGTCGACAGTTGGAGAGGGGCACATGGGTGCGTTGTATGGCACATAGCATTCAAACGTCTTCAGGATCAGCTTCTCGCACAGCTGCAGAAACAGCGACAGCAGCGCAGGGCACGCGCAGACAAACAGGCAAGACAGGCAGCAGATGCGCACACGCACACACAGAGGCAGGCACACACAAGCATGCATGCGCATGCATACAGACACACACGTACATACGCGCAAACAGAGACATACGCGTAGCCACACACCTGGTCCTGGAGGTGGCTGTTTTGGGAGCGCAGCTGTCGCAGCTGGTCATTGAGTGACCTGTGCTGCACCTTTGACTGTGCAGTGTACGACTTGAGTTCCGAGATTTCATACTCCAACGCTTCCCGCGTCGTCACCTCATTGTCAAGTCTTGTCTGCAAGTTGCTGTTTGCCGTCTGTGTACAAAGCATGACACGTGTTGTGGTCGGTTGAAGTTAGTGTGTATGTGTGTGTATGTACGCGTGTGTATATGTACGCGTGTGTATATGTACGCGTGTGTATGTGTTTGTGTGTGTATGCATGTACATGTGTGTGTGTGCTTACGGACGTTCGTGTGAAACCTGAATGTGCGCAAGAGAAAAAGCTTGTACCCACTTCACTTTCAAACATAGCTAGAGCGTGCAGACATCAGCCACTCGCACCTGCAGTGAATGCAATTCCTCAAGCTCCTCCGCCATGCGTGTGCGCTCTTGCTGCAGGGAGGTGATGACGTGCTGTTGCTGCTCCATTTCGACCTGAAACGACTCGCGCCGCCCTTCACTCTCCTAACAAACGAAACAAGCAACCGCCAATACAGCAAACAAAGCGTGAGCAGCAATTCGAACGACTTCTCTCAACCACGATCCTTCATTGATGCTCACTCGCCAGCGCATTCAATTATTGCAACGCTATGCACGAGTGCAAGCGTGGACACATCAATGACATGCAACCGCACCCGCAGCATGCCGCGGAGTTTGCTGCATTCGTCATCAAGCAGCGCCTGCTGCGCCTGGTACTCCGACAACAGTCTGCATCGGAAGGTGCGCGCGTGTGTGCGTGAGTGAGAGAGAGTGAGAGTGTGTGGGTGTGTGTGCACGTGCGGATGTGTATTTGTGTGTGTGTGTGTGCGTTTGTACGTGCGTGTGTGTATTTTTTGTACGTGTGTGCGAGCGTGTGGGCCCTGATATGTGTCCTTATCGTTCCACTTGAGGAAGTGCGAAAGCAGCGTGTATCAGGGGGATCAAGCAGCATTCGGGCGTCGAGCGAGACAGACAAGAAGGTGGTCAGTGCTTGAAAACGCACTGGTCTGATTGCAGAAGAGCGCCTGTTTTTGCATCCAGCAGCGACGACAGCCGTTGTTCCTGTCATACACCCACCACAATCGACACCACAGTTAGTCGTGGAGGCAATTGGTTGTGTAAAACGTGGGAATGGAAACACACAGCGGACAGTGCGCACCACCAGCATCCAAAGTACATCAACACAAAAGCAGCACACGCAACGGAGATGATATGATGCAAGCAGCACAGGCGACGCAGACAGAGGCAGCAATCAGCGACAAGAACAGTGGGAGAGAGAGAGAGCTAATCGTGCAACAGTTGCAACAACAGAAGCACTGTGCACCAGTATCACCTTGTTGTGCGCTTCCTGCAACTTTGCCTCGTACATGGCCATGATTTCAGATGCGCGCATGTCGCGAAGTTGCAGATTGTGCTGTTGCGTGGTGTGATGTGATGGGGAAAGAGACGAGGAAAGATGGGGGAGGGGGAATGGAGCACATTAAATCAAGAAATGGAACACGCAGTAGGAAGTGAGCGCAGTGCAGAAGTGGCACTGAAATTGCGGGTGCTCATTGGTCTGAAGTGTTAGGAAGGGGTGTGTGCATGTGTATTTGTGTGTATGTATGTGTGTGTGTGTGCGCGTATGTGTTTGTGTGTGTGTGTGTGTGGACAAGGACACGCAGTGGGAATATAGGTGATGTGCCGTAAGGTCAGTGGCATGGGCAGCAGGAACGAAGATAATCGATCGAACAAGCGAATGAGCGACGCAAATAGCACCTTGACGTGGTGCATGACGCGTTGGATGTCTTCGTCAACATGCGATCCTGTGCTCCGGTGCAGCTAAAACCGGTGATGTTATCAACACATGCGCGACGAGTTAGGCAATGCGTTGACGGTGTCATGAAAATTGGGCCGTGGGGTGGATACAAGCATGCAGATGGTTGTGCACGCACACACACACACACACTCACTCGCACACACAGCCACACACACACACACACACACACACACACACACACACACACACACACAGCCACACACACACTCACACAGCCACATCCACACACCTGCTCTCGTTGCTGCAGGGATGACGTTATGGATGAAGAATGAGACACCTGTTGCTGGTGGTGGAAATGGACGTGATGGGTGCGCGTGTGCCGCGAGAAGACGCCAGACTCGGAACGACCAGCAGGGGAAACGGGCGCATGCGCTGCTGATGTGTTGGTCGCGTCGTTCATTGCAGCGGCATTGCGGTTCCACGACGCAACTACAGCGCTGAGTCTGTGAATTTGTGAATTTGTGTGTGTGTGTGTGTGAATGTGTGTGTGAATGTGTGTGTGAATGTGTGAATGTGTGAATGTGTGAATGTGTGTGTGTGTCAGGCTGCAAAGACACCTACACACTCATCTGCCCGCAATCACACGTGCACATACACAAACACAGACACAGACCTGGTGATGCCGAACAAAGATTTGAAGAGACGGCTGCAGAGGATGTTGATGGACGACTCGACGAGAACAGGGCTGGTCGACAGCAGGTTCTTGCTCAGCATCACAAGGCAGCCCTTGTACATGTGCATGTGCATGTATGTGGATGCGGATGTGGACGTGGATGTGTACGTGTGTGTTTGTGAGTGTCCACATGTGGGTGTCCATGTGTGAGCACAAGGGCGACAGCAATGACGGAGGACCCGCAAAGTTAAAGTTGTCCTCGATGAGTGAGAAGTGGAATCGACGCCAGCGAGATGCACATGCCCAAAATTCGTGGCAGCAGTGCTGTCTGCTCACCTCGGCGTGCAAGAGATTGTCAAGGAACTGTTTCGCTTCATCGTCCTCGCGCGTCTCTACAGTACAAACACATGCGAGCGCGCAATCGGGAGAATCGTCAAGCACTCGTCATTGCACAGGTGCAGGGAACGCGAACGAAGCGAAAAGCCGCTCACGCCCTCACAGGCACGAGCACGGCAGCAGCACAGGAGTGATTCGTGCAAGGTGCGCAGCGTGATCAACCAGCGAACCAGCGAACACCCCCACCGAGCAATGAGATGAGGTATTCGCAGAATGCCGTGGTGACGAGGCGGGCCCCAAGATCACGCGTCGTAGTCGCAAACGAGCAGTTGTGGCTGACCACACATGAGTGTGAGTATGGATGTGTGAGAGAGAGAGAGAGTGTGTGTGTGTGTGTGCGTGTTAGTGAGCAACAGGAAAGAATGGAGAAGGTGTCGAGGCATGAGCCTTCAACCCGTCTCAGCTCGGTTGGTGGCAAGGTGGAAAGAACACGACGAATCCCATACAAGGTTGCATTCTTCAAACAAATGTGGCAGCACGAGTCGAATACAGGCATGTGTGCGCGCGCGTGTGTGTGTGCGTGCGTTCATGCATGCGTGTGCGTGTGCGAGTACGTGTGTGCGTGTGCGAGTACGTGTGTGCGTGTGCGAGTACGTGTGTGCAACCTTGAAGCGTTTGCTTGGCCGAGAACAAAGAGATCTGCCAGGGAATCGCGGCAGAAGGTGTACAGCTGCACAGTGGAGTGTGATGGAGGTGTTACGTTGTGCAAACACGAGCCAGACACCAACCAATGTCACCCATGCGAGAATAACCGGAGGGAGGGCATGAGAAGGGGCTTTGATCCACACAACACAGGAACCATGTCAACAGCAGTGCAACACGAGTTGAGCAAACAGAGCGTGAGTGCACTTGAATGCGTGCACGTGCGTTAGTGTTGCTTGCAGGCATTGGCCCTGCTCATACCATCTGCATGGAGGCCGGCTCCAGCACAACTGTCTGCTGGTGCGACGCCTGGTGGTTGATGGCGGTGGAGATGCGAGCAATCTGGAGAAGCATGGAGAGATGATGAAGTTGAGGGTGCGGGGGAGAAGGGAAAGAAAGGTGTGAGCAGGAGTCAAGCTGCTGAGTGATTGAGGGATACATGCACAGACAGACGCGGGTGTGTGCACACACATACACAGGCACATGGACAGACAGGCAAACAGACACACACACACAGGTACATGGGCATACACACAGACAGACAGGCAACACAAGCATGCGTAAAAGCACAACACGGACGTTTGCGACGAGGAGGAGGTCAAGACTTCCGTCGCCAGTGGCGGTGGCGATGGTGGAGTTGAACATGGACGACACAAACGACGCAACCTTGCCGAGGACCTGATGCACAGGGCAGTGGCCATTGTACGACCGAGGTCGTGTGTGTATGCGTGTGTGTATGCGTGTGTGTATGCGTGTGTGTTGTTTGTGTATGTGTGTGTGTGTGTGTGTGTGTGTGTGTGTGTGTGTGTGTGTGTGTGTGTGTGGTAAGAGGTAAAGTGCGTGCTGGGATGGTATTGAAACGTTCGAGCGATCGCACACACACGCACACGCGCACGTGCGCGCACACACACACACACAATGTTCAAGCAACGAACAACTACAGTGTAACATCCAGAACGCAGCACTCTGCAAACCGGTCCCAATCACCCCCCAAACCCCACGCCGGCGTCTTCACTCTCACAACGCACCGGTGACTGCCCGCCCGTGAGTCTGATGACCATTCGAATCACAATATCGGCTGCGTCGTCGCGGATGCTGTATGGGGAGGTGTATGCCCGGTCCGCCGCCAGCCACGCAAGCAGCATGTCCAACAGGTCGTCGCCCTGAACACGCACACATACACAGAGAAAAGTGGTGGTGTTGAGGTGAACACAGGTCATGGTAAGGAGATTTGTGTTGTGCGTTGGTGTTTGTGTGTTGAAGTGAATGGCAGGATGAACAACGCCGTTGTTGACACATACATCGCACACGCACGCACACACACTGATTGCATTGAGTTTAAAAGTCACACCTCGGTGAGCCTGGCGAGGAGGACGTCTATGCACTGCGGCGCTGCGCAGATGGCACGGAGGAATCGAACCGTCACGCCGGCGCTGTGGGCGGGGCACCGATGAAGCTCTTGCGTAATCTGATGTGGGCATCGTGGATGTGTGTGGAGACGTGAAGATGAGAAAATGCAGTGTACGTGTGTGTATGTGTGTGTCAAACAATACACAAATGCACACACGTGCGTGTGTGCCAAACAATACTCAAATGCACACACACACACACACACACGCGTGTGCCTACGTGTGTGCACATATTCATACGCGTTCATATTCACACATTCACACATGTACACACTTGTGCTCACCACGTCGACAAAGTGCGGCAGTTTGTCGAATTCACCGAGGCGGTTCACGCAGCGCACGCTGTCCATGAGCGTGGAGAACAGCTCCACCCTGGCACGAGGTGATCGTGGCGATGGTGTTGGTGATGGTGACGATAGGGAGGGCACAGATGAAGGGTGTGCCTGTTGGAAGGCACAGCGTCCCACAACCCCAAACCACGCACACGGACGCACAGACACACACAGATACACAACACAGACGCACACAGACACAACACACACAGACACACACGCAGACACATGCTTGCACATACTCAACACAGTGGGAGTTGCAACTGACGTGTACATGTGCACTGTGCTGGCGGCTGGGGTGTCGTCGGTGCTGGTGATGAGACTGAACGCCAGCTCGAAGATCTGCGTGATGTTGTCGTCGTTGAACAACTTCTGCCCGAGCTCAGCATCGTCCAGCAGCAGCCTGGCAGTGGTGATGGATGATTGAAATGGGCCGACGCAAATAGGGCTTCGAGGAAGAAACACGACTCACACACGACACACGACACACACACACACACAACACACGACACACGACACACACACACACACACACACACACACACACACACACACACACACACACACACACACACACACACAAGCGACAGGCATGAGTCACATCTTCGAGTCCCTTGGTCTTCGTGCCCCTCCCCCACTGCTCACCGTGCGACGAGATTGAGGGTGGCGACGACGAGAAGGAGGTCTGGATTGGAGAGATATGACACGAGCGAGCGGTAGAAGCGACGCGCAGTGGGACGCGCACGCACCCAGTCCTAGCGGTGATGGTGATGATGGTGGTATTGATGGTGGTGGAGAGGACAACAACGATGAGGGGGGGGGGGAGGCTGGGACATGGGCGGTGAGCAGGTACCCCACCACAACAGCAACACTTTGGGCGTGTCGCACAGCCTGCGCATATGTGCGTATGTGTGTGCGGTGGAGCATATCGACAGCCAACCAACCTGCCACGCCAGGTTGTGTGCGAGGAGGTTGGCGAGGACGCACGCTGCTGGACCGAGCACATCCGCAGCCAGCGCCGTGTCCTGACAGCAGAGGCGGTGACGGTGGTGCACATGATGTGGATAGTGCATGTGTGCGTGAGAAACACTCGCGTGCGCGTGTGAGGGCCAGCAGCATGCATGTGTATTTCTCCGAAGCAAGACAGGACAGGCCACGGCATGAACAACGCATGTCACGCCCCCGCCCTTCTTTCCCACCGTGACGATGCTGCACAGAAGTTCCGCAAATTCTGCAAACGCCACGTGGTCTGCTGGATGCGGTGGAAACACATTCCTGCACACGCGATTGATGGTGACGTCACAGCCACAGAGCGAGAGAGAGAGAGAGAGAGAGAGAGAGAGAGAGAGAGTGTGTGTGTGTGTGTGTGTGTGCGTTTGTGTGTGTGTGTGTGTGTGTGTGTGTGTGTGTGTGTGTGTGTGTGTGTGTGTGTGTGTGTGTGTGTGGGTGGGTGTGGGTGTGGGTGGGTGAGTGAGACTGAGAGAGACTGAAGGTAGGGAGCGTGCATCAAAGCGTGCGCGATGCGCGTGTGCATGTGTGTGATGTGTGTTGGGATCGATCCATTGGCACATGGTCCAGACCTGTGAAAGGAGAGGAGTTGAATGGCTCGAAGGCACTGCAATAAATGGTGAAGCAGCAGTGTCGCATGCGTGAGATGCAGAATGACGTCAATTCTACACACACACACACACACACACGTGTACAGACACGTGTACAGACAGACAGACACGAACACGTGCACACGAACACGTCCACGTACATACACACACATACACACAAACAGGCACCACACATGCTCATACCCCCAGCAACTCTCGCACTCCTTGCGTCCGTGTACCGTTGTGAGCGCGTGCGCGTCGTTGATCCTCCAGGTGTCCTGCGCTTGTGCATATGTGCAGCAGGAAACCGCTTGCGATGCGAGCTGGCGCAAGACAGCGGCGTGTGTGCGTGAGGACGTGTGCGAGTGTGAATGCGGTGGCGTTTGCACAAGCACACGTGCAGTGTATGTGTGTGTGTGTGCGTGTGTTTGCTTTGGTAGTAGTAGCGAGTTGGTATACAAAGCAGCCGCAGCACTCTGCGACAAGCCCCCCCCCCACACACGTAAAGCTGCAGACAGGACAGCACCTGTTGAACGGTGATGGAGATGCGTTCCTCATCCACACCTGCAGAGACGGAGGATTGGGATGGGAAGGGAGTGCGACAATGACAGGCGATGACGAGCCAGTGTGGTGCCAGATGCAAAACAGTCACACACACACAACTGCACCCACATACAGACAGACACACACACACACACACAGACAGACAGACAGACAGACAGACAGACAGACAGACAGACACACACACACACACACACACACACACACACACACACACACACACACACACACACACACACACACGAACACACAGACACACACAACTGCACCCACTTGGATCGACGATCCAGGTGACGACGGCGAGAATGTCGAGGGCCATATCGCGGACATCCTGCGATGGGGACTGCACGATGGCAGATGCGACGCGATGGAGCAGCTCCGCCGCTGTCTCCTGCCGCCCGCTGCACGACTGGAGGAGACGCATGCCCGGTGGCACACGCGCTGATATGGCATCCTGGATGGCACGTTGTAGTGCCTTTGGCGTTGGTGGGGAGGGGGGCAGGGGGCGCAGCAGCGCGCGCGTGAGCGTGCACGTCGAGATGAGAGGGTGTGCGTGTGTGTATGTATGTGTGTATGTGTATGTGTGTGTGCATGTGCATGCGTGTGTATATGTATATGTGCGTGTGCATGTGTGTGTGTGTGCATTTGTGTGTGTGTATGGGCGACTGACAGCACACCAGCGAGCAACCGAGCGGAAGGACAAGCGTACGAAACGCGGCGACATCTGCTTGCACACACATGCATCGACAGCCATCTTGTACCTGAAGTGCAGCGAGTCTGTTGGCGGAGGCGGTTGCGTCAGCTCGGTGGTGGTGAGACGCGTGGGACGATGCTTGTTGTGGTTGCCTGTAGTGCGCACCACTTGAGTGGCGAGGTGCAAGGGGCGAGGACGTGGTGGCGCTGTACACCTCGGTGGACGCCGTGGTGTCTCGGGAAAGGGGCGGCCGCTGCATGGGTGGAGCTGTGCCGATCGTTACACCTTCACTGGTGTGAGCACGCCGCTGCTGGTCCCCGTGCCCGTGCTGAGGGTGGTGCGAATGGCGGTGCTGGCGGTGCGACGCATGCGAGTGTGTGCTGTGGTGTGTGCTGTGGTGCGAGTGTGCGCGTGCGAGTGGAGCGCCGGAGGAGGCGTGCTGCGTGCCATCGTCGATGTCGCTTTGGGTGCGGCGTTGTTCAGGCGACCTGTGTGCTCCTATATCCTGCTCGTCCTGCCGCAACAGAGCCCCAACAGCATCCTGGAACGATGCCATCGTGATGTTGGATGCTGTCCTGCGTGTTCACTGGTGCCGTTGAGGGGTGTATGAGACCGTTTTTTCTTGCTTTCTTCTCTTCTTTTTTTTTTGGGTGTGTGTGTGTGTGTGTGTGTGTGTGTGTGTGTGTGTGTGTGTGTGTGTGTGTGTGTGTGTGTGTGTGTGTGTGTGTGCATGTGCACAACGCACTGAAGAGGTGTCTTCTTCTTCTCCAAGCAGCTGCAGCGGCGTTGTTGTTGTTGCTTTGATGATGGAGTTTGGAGTTCACTCAAGCGTGGAGCGGCGAGCAAACAAAACACACGGAGCGAAAAGCAAACAGGCAACTGCTTCTACACAGGAGACACACACACACACACACACACACACACACACACACACACACACACACAGGCACGGTCACTTCTTTGCGTATGTGACGCTGAGGGTGTTGTCCTCGCCCATGCTGAACCCGTCCAAGTTCTGCATTGCAACCGCACTTGCGCGCGCTGTCTCATATTCGACAAAGCACATGTCTGGCCGCCCGTCAACCATCCGCACCTGGCATCGTTGCGAGTGAGCGTGAGTGCACACGTGTGTGTGTGTGTGAGTGAGTGAGTGAGTGAGTGAGTGAGTGAGTGAGTGAGTGAGTGAGTGAGTGAGTGAGTGAGTGAGTGAGTGAGTGAGTGAGCGTGTGTGTGTGTGAGTGCGTGTGTGTGTGTGCGCTGAGAACAAGTGCGTGGTGCATGCCACAGCACTCACATTTCCTTCGCAGACCCGCAATCGTTTACAAACACACACACACACATGCACACACAAAATGCAACCTCACCTCGACGAGGCCTTCAAACTTGGCAAAGAGGTTGTGGACGTCAGACTTGGTTGCTGTCGGTGGAAGGTGCGACACGTACAGGATCTTGTTTGTGCCCGCGTCCCCGCTCTCATCCATTGCCCGACGGCCCGTCTCCGTTCGCGCCGCCTTTGTCGCTGTGTTTGTGTGTTTGTTTGTGTGTTGTGTGTGTTGTGTGTGTTGTGAGTATGTGTGTATGTTTGTGTGTATGTGTGTATGTTTGTGTGTGTTGGGTGGCAAAGGGGAAGATGTGTCGTGTTCAGTGAAAGGATGCGCCATGGTCAGTGCGAGGAGTAAGAAGTCGCGTGCTGAGTAGCATACATCTCTCAGGGGTCAAAAAGACGAGCACCCCCCACCATGTCAACGCACTCTTGTGTTGTCGAACACACACACAAACACACACACACACACAAACACACACACACACACAACACACACACACACACACACACACACACACACACACACACACACACACACACACACACACACACACACGCACAAAAACGCGCGCGCGCGCGACAACAAACCTGGCTCCTCCTCGTCTCTGCCGCTGGTCTTTTTCCTCTGCTTGGCGAGATATCGCTGATACGTGCCATCCTCCTTCATGCTTGCAATCGACTTTGACTTGGCATACGCGATTTTCTGCACGTCGGACGTGGGTGGGCAACAGCGTGGCGTGAGGTGGAAGCGCACCATGGATAACAAGGACCAACAGAGAGGCCACTAGAGTACATGCCAGCCTCAAACTTGCATGTGCAAACCGCTCCCACACACACACACACACACACACACACACACACACACACACACACACACACACACACACACACGCACACACACACACACGCGCGCGCACACAAACACACACACACACACACACTCTCTCATTCACACACACGCATGCACACACACGCATGCACACACACACACACACACGCCCACTGACACGCATGCATACGCACCATGGGCTTGCCGAAGAGGTTGAACGATTGCAGTGCACGCATGGCATTTGTGGCGCATGTGATGTCCTGAAGAAGCACGCGCGGAAGCAAACGGACGGCGCATCAAATTGCTGCGGGGGCGGTCGATCGGTTATCCCTCCGTCTCGTCCACCACGTCTTGCATGTGGGATCGCAAGTATATATGGGGATGGGGGAGTGCCAGCCGAACTGGTGGTGGGGCACATGCATTCTGACGCACCTTGAAGGCGATGAATGCTTGCCCGCGCATCTTTGGCGTCTTAAGCGCGACGACATCGAGGATGGGCCCAAACTGTGAAAACAGAAAGTACAGCGACCGCCGCAGCTCTGTGCGTTGATTCAAACAGGGTCATTCGCGAGAGTAGAGCCAGGTCCGTGTCAGAGGGAGTGGTCACCAGCACCAGAATTGCAGGCGCGCGCAACATGCCGTCGGCGGTGCATTCACCACCACCACCACCACAACAACAACAAAGACAACATCCACATCCGCACCTTCTTTGTGGATTTTGTCGTTGAGGTTGTTGACATACAACGTTTGGTTAGGCAAGTTGGCCATGGCTGTTCTGTGATCTCCGTGCTCTGTGTGTGTGTGTGTGTGTGTGTGTGTGTGTGTGTGTGTGTGCTGGCGTGGGGTCGGATATGATGATGGTCTCAGCTCAGTCAGTCAGTGTGTGAGAGCGAGTGTGGTCGTCGTTCGCCTGTTGACTAACTACGCTTTGTCGTGTTTCCTCAAAATTGGGCAAAAAGCTGTATTTGGCCATAGACGCGAAGTGGCGAAATCGCCGCATTTACAATAAAGGGGAAGGGAAGGAAGGAGGGAAGCAAGCACGTTGTTGGTGTGGTGGTGTGGGAGCAAACCGCACACACACACACACACACACACACACACACACACAGACACAGACACACACAGACACAGACACACACACACACACACACACACACACACACACACACACACACACACACACACACACACACACACACACGCTCAATATGGCCACGAAGCTGGTTCAAGATATATGGACAGGTGATGCACGATGGTTTGGGTTGCTTTGTTGTGGGAGCTGCCACGTTGTCTTGCTTGTCTTTTCCTGCGCGCTATCTCACGCAGGTGATGATGGGCTTGGTGGAGCGTGTGCGGGCTTGCACGCGCTTGCTGTGCGGCGAGTGCGCGCAGAGGCCGTTGGCATCCTCGCCGGGGGAAGGCAGGATGCCCCACGTGAGCGGTTGGTCTGTCACGGGGCTGACGCGGTGGGAGGCGCGCACGGTGTGGCCGTGGAACATCCACAGGTGGCCGTTGTTGCACGCCTTAAGGCACGACTGGCAGGGCTCCACGACGTGGTAGCCAAGCACGTTGCCGCTGTACACAAGAACAGCACGAAAATGCAGGCTTTGGTGAGCAAGAGATGGCAGCAGATTGTTGGATGCGGTGCAACGCCACACTCACCGCACGCACATTTGTAAAGAGTGACAACGACAGGACAACAGCACACAAACAGCCAGCCAGACAGACAGCCAGCCAGAAAGACAGACAGACAGAGAGACAGACAGACAGAGAGACAGATCCACAGCACATCCACATGCCACGACACATACATACAGCACGGACACAACATAACACAACACATATACATACACGACACACACAACACAACACATACACCGCACATGCCACACGCTGCACAAGAACAACAGCAACTCACCAGCAGCGGCAGGCGACGTCTGTAATCTGGCAGGCGCAGCTCGGGGTGCTGTAGAGGCGGCCCACGGGGCTGCAGCGTTCCTCAGGAGCGGCGTCAGTTGAGAACAACTCCGTCGACGTATCTGCGAGCAACAGCGCCTTCATGGCCCGCCGGCACACCACTGTTTCGCAGTAGCTGCACTGGAGATCAAACACAACCTTATCTGCAAACATGCGCTGGCGGTAGCTGTGCGACACGCTCATTTGTGGCTGCTGCTGTTGTTGTTGTTGTTGTTGTTGTTGTTGTTGTTGGCGTGTACTCCTGTAGTGTTGGTGGTAGTGGCTAGCGTGGTCCTCAAAGGGATAGGCGGGGGCGGCGCTGTGCTGCTGCCGCGGCGAGTCTGGTGGCGAGGAGAGCGGGGACGACGTGTGGCTGTGTGAGGACGTGGCGGATCTTGGGGACGGTGACAAGGGCGCAGCATCGTGGTGGTGGCTGTGTTGGTGGGGGTGGTTGTGGCTGTGGTAGCTGCTGTTGTGGCGATGGAGGCTGGAGACGGAAATGTCGCCGTGGCCGTTGTACAGGAACTGCTGGATGGCGTTGAGCGCACTTCCGCTGTGGTTGTGCGCCGTGTTGATCATAAACTGGCTCATCGTCGGTGGTTGTGGATGTGGCGTGTGGCTGGCTGAAGAGAGTACACACAACTGCGTGCGACGTTGAGGAGGGGGGGGGTAGCAGCAGACGGTGATGTGGCGGCGATATGGTGCTCTGGGAGGGTTTGATAAGGGCTGGTATTGGTGCTGGTGTTGGTGTTGATGCTGGGTGGTGCTCGTGTGGTGCAAGGGGTCGGTTCAACAGGCGACGAAGAGAGCGGGGAAAAAAATGAACACGGCGATGCTCAAGTGCCAAGATGTAGCTGTTGTGTGTTTGCGTGTTGCTCTTTGTCTTGCTGGGCTGTGAATGTTCCGAATGACGGGCAGGCTGACTGGTTGGCTGGATTGGCTGGATGCCACTCTCTCTCACGCGCTCTCACTTGCTCGCTCGCTGGCTGTCTCTGCTTGTCAGGGAGAATAGCTGCGTGTGGTCAGTTAAATTAGGTCCGCCAATGTCAACGCCAACAAAGAGCGCGCACGCTCGTGGATCGCGGAGAAGCCAACCCGGGCAGGCACGCAGCAGATGTCAGTCAGGCACGACGATGGTGTCAGGCGGTCAGGCAGTGGCGGCGGCGGCGATGGTGAATGTGAATGGTATGCGAGAGCGCGGGTGGATGGGCGATGGACGTTCCAGGCCTTGGTCGGTCGTTCGTGCGTGTGTGGAATTTGGCGGATGCGGAAGTAGAGACACACAACAACAACAACAACAACAACAACGAATCGGTGGCATGCGTGTCACTCAACTCCCAAAAGAATGCCGGACCAGGAGCAATCACATCACGTCAGCCAGCACGTCAAAACACAAAGCGTGTCTTGGTGACGTGAGCGGAAGTGTGTGTTGTGCGCCTGTTGTGTTGTGTGCGTGTGTTTGGTTGGGGAGGGGGAATTGGTCGCGGGGGTGAAGGAATGCGGTTGGTTGTGTGCGCCCTTGAAGACACAAACACTGACCAGCACGCGTGTGTGGGATGATGATGATGATGATGATGATGTGAGAGGTTCCACACCTGCCTGTGTGGGTTGCAGGCAAGCACAGTCGGAGGGTTGGGTGTTGTTGCTGCGTGCGTGCGTGCGTGTGCGTGTGGTGGATGCTGACCAGCTGACAAGCGTTGGTTCGCCAACGCGTTGCGTGGCGTGGCGTTGGGACGATCAAGGGGCGAGGCTGACGCGCAGCCGGTTTGGGTCCGCCGTCAGGGTGTCGCGGGAGCGCGAACCGTGGTCAGGCAGGCAATCGCATTGAGTCCTCCTTGCACTCTCAAACCCAACCAACCGTCAAGGCCAACAAAAAAAAAACCGTCAAGCACATCCGTTGCACGCATGCACGCACGAGCTCATCACATCATCACCAAAACAACAACAACCAACAAACGAAACACGCATGATGCATGCAGCCTGCTCGTGCGGAATCGATGGTGGTGGTGTTTGGTTTGCTGTGGAGGGGAGCCATGTGATGGATGCTGTGTGGCTGTGTGGCTGTGTGTGGCCTAAGGTGGGGCTGTGGGGGGCTTGAGGCTGCAACAACGCCAACACGCCTTGCTTGCTTGAAACATGGTTCGCGTCATCTTCGTTGTTGTTGTTGTGCTTCCTTCGTTGCCGCAACGGAAATCCCCCCCACCACACATCTCATTTTACCAACACGACAGGTGTCAATTGCTATTTTACCACAAGGTTGCATGCGTCGCCATCGCAAACAAAACAGCACAACCCCCGCTTCGGAACGGTGGATCGTGCATATGCGCACAAAGGGTTGTTGAGCGTTGTGTGCGAAACATACATTATCGGGCCAACCATTTGCCCGAGGGAACTTTGAATCTCGTGGTTTTTTGTCTTGACGCCAAAAGCACCAACACAAACGCGGCCACGCTTCTTGCTTCTTTGCTTGTTCGCCGCCACTTGCCACACCACATCACCACCACAGTGTTCATTCCTCACCAACACAAAGCTCCCCCCCCCCCCTTGCGTCGCTCTGCCGCCCTCTTGCTCGTTCACTCACGGCACCTTTTTCTGGCCTTCTTCCGCTCCCTTCTCCCATCACAAAACCATTTTCTCCACCGACCACCGCTGATCGACCGACCGACCGACCAGACCGACCCACTCCTCGCCATAGCTACACAAGCAAGCGCCGATACAACACACCAACACCACCAGCACACACATTAGCGATACACAACACAACCAGACATGTCTTCCCTTGTGAGTCGGCCAGTGTGTGTGTGTGTGTGTGTGTGTGTGTGTGGGTGTGTTTGTAGTGTGCAGGTTGTGTGAATAGGTTTGCGTGTTTGCACGAATGCCTTTGCCTTCTGCACTTCCTTCTGCTTGTATTGTTGTGTAAGCGTGTTTGCTTTTGTGTGCACACGCGAAAGGGTGCAGTTGTTCATTCGTCTTCTCTGGTTCCTTCCACATTCCCCATTCGTCGTCTGACCCATGTATTGTCTGACGCTCACGTTCTGTTGGCGGTCTTCTTCTGCCCCGTCTCCCAGATGCGCTTTGGTATGCCTCGCTCTGCGGCCCCAAAGGATGTCGTGGAGGCACCCGCCGCTCACCGCAAGGAGCGCAAGGCCCTCGGTGACATCAGCAACAGGGTCACAGACAACATCAACCTCACAAAGAAGCCCAAGCTCGTCCACAAGGTCTGCGTGTGTGTGTGTGTGTGTGTCTGCCTGTCTGTCTGTCTGTCTGTCTCTCTCTCTCTCTCTCTCTCTCTCTCTCTCTCTCTCTCTCTCTCTCTCTCTCTCTCTCTCTCTCTCTCTCTCTCTCTCTCTCTCTCTCTCTCTCTCTCTCTCTCTCTGTCTGTCTCTCTGTGCAAAATGTGTGCTGGAACTGCTGCACAAGTTGTGCGCGTGTACTTGTGTTGTCTCCGTGCATGTGTGCATGAACAACGACACCGGCTCATAGTGTTGTGCTGTCCGCCACCATGCATCATCTCGTCTTATCTTCCCCTGCACTGTGGTGGTTAGGCGCCCCGTGGCATGGAAGTGGACCAAGATGTTGAGGAGAAGCACGCGCAGAACGTGATGCCCGCACCCCGGCCCATCCCCGCCAACGTGGAGGACGTGTACGAGGACGACTTTGAGAACCCGCAGATGGTCGCCGAGTATGTGGAGCCCATCTTCGAGTACATGCGCGAGCTCGAGGTGCGCCTGCACGTCCCCGCCAACTACTTCAAGATCCAGACGGAGATCAACGCCCGCATGCGTGACGTCCTGGTGGACTGGCTGGCCGAGGTCCACCACCGCTTTGAGCTCATCCAGGAGACGTTCCACCTCACCGTCCACCTCCTCGACCGCTACCTGTCGAAGGAGCCCGTCACCCGCGACGACGTGCAGCTCGTCGGCATCACCGCCATGATGGTGGCCGCCAAGTACGAGGAGATGTACCCGCCTGAGCTTGGCGACTACGTCTACATCACAGACAAGGCCTACTCCGAGGACCGCATCCTCGCCATGGAGAGGGTGAGACAGACGTCTGCCTGTATTGTGGCGTATATTGTTGCGTGTATACGTGCGTGTGAGCATTTATTTGCTGTTGTGTTGTGTTCATATGCACGTACACACGCACACAAATATGCCGCACACACACACACACACACGCAAATATGCCGGCACACACACACAATATGCCCACACACACACACACACACACACACACACATGGTCGTTCGTGTATGGCTCGTCCTGTCATCCAATCCAACATTCCTTCAACACTTTCCGCACCCTCTCACAAACTCCGCGCATGTCTCCACTCCCTTCCCCGTCCCCTCTACAGAAACTGCTGCGTGTGCTTGACTTCTCCCTGGGCAAGCCGCTCCCGCTGCACTTTCTCCGCCGCAACTCCAAGGCCGGCCATGCCGACGCCACCATGCACAGCATGGGCAAGTACATGATTGAGCTCTCCCTCGGCAGCCACGCCATGCTCAAGTACGTCCCCTCCCAGCTAGCCGCCGCCGCCACCTACATCTCCCGCGAGATTGTTGGCGAGCACGAGCTGTGGAACCCCACGCTGGAGCACTACGCCAAGTACTCCCTGGAGGACATTGCCCCCGTTGTCCACGACATGCGCGCCGTCCTCAAGCACAGCACCGTGTCCCGCCTCCAGGCCATTCGCAACAAGTTCTGCCGCAGCCGCTACCTCCGCGTCAGCAAGAACCCCCAGCTCAACGAGTACATTGAGCGCCTCTAAATGGCGGCGCGTTGCGTGCTTGCGTTCTGCTTGCGTTGATTCGGTGTGATGAGCATTTTGCTTTCCCCACACAGCTGTACATACAAAGCCCTTGTGGTTTGCTCGTTTGTTTGCTTGTTCGTTTGGTTTCCCCCTCCTTCTTTCTCCTACTCTTTTTTCACTGTTCTGTCATTTGTTGCCTTACTTCCCAGAAAGCCTATTTCAGAGGTTGCTTTGCCATCATCATCATAAAAGGATCATCTTTCTTCCACAGTGATGAAGACACATAGACACACACACACACACGTAGACACATAGACACGCGCGCACACATACACACACACACACACACACACACACACACACACACACACACACACACACACACACACACACACACACACACACACACACACACACACACACACACACACACACACACACACACACACACACACACACACACACACACACACACACACCACAAACTTCCCGCCACTACATTTTGTGCTGTTTTCTTACGTGGCGGGCAATCATCGCCACCACCACTCGCATCATCATCATCGGAAGGTTGCCCCAACCAACACCACACACCCCGCACACACCTCACCCTCTCCCCCAGCGTTTGAAACTCCACCCAGCACGAACACGCAGCTTGCTCCTCAGCATCTTGCACAAACCTCAGCAAATGTGGGCGTTCAGCGCCCTTGCTCTTCGCGGGGAACAAACCCCTCATCCCAGTCACACGCACGCATGCACTTCCCCAAGCAATTCCGATGATGATGTTGTTCACGCGAGATTGCGTCCACCACAAAGCATGGGATGACGTTTGTTGACTTCCAGAGTGTCTTTGCGAGCTGATGATGCGGCAACACAGCAAACCCAATTGGCGGGAACACCACCTGCCGCCCGCTGTTTGGTCGTTTGCACTTCGGTTTTGCTCGATCACATCATCGGTGTCGACTCTGACTGTCCCACCAACACCAAAAAGTCAACCAACGCGCCTGCACGCGAACAGGTTTGACACCAATGTTCATGTGGCTTTGTCCCGCTTTCACACACATGCAAAACTCACCAGCACGCACAAAACAACAGCTGCTCGTACATACACACACACACACTCTCTCTCATGCACAGAGAGAAAGCTACACACACTCTCGTCAACGCCAGATCCCCCGTTTCTCTCTTGGCGGTTCATTTTCTTCTCAACCCCTTCCCTTGCTTCACCTTCTGCGCTACCATCCCCTCCCGCCTCCCGCCCGCGCCTTGCCCCCCGTAGTCGCATCGGCCCTTACCATCCCCTCCCGCCTCCATCTGTCCAACATCATCAGCGCCGCCCCATCGTCCCTGTGATCTCGCTCCGCCTCTCCGACACTCTCGACACATTCATTCATCGCGGCTCCCCCTCCCGCCATCAAGCATAGAGCCAACACAACAACAGCAATTCACAGATAGCCAGCCGTCCAAGATGAGCAGCACCCGCCATCCACAGGTTACGCGCCACAACGGCGACAACGGCCTGAACTCTGGCGAGGCCGCCCTCCCCTTCCACCAAGATCAGCCCCGCCAACAAGCTGCCGCAACAGCCGTCTCGCAGCAAGATGGCGCCACAACGCTCATCACCCCAACAGCCACCTCCACCGCCGCCATCTCAAACACCACCGACACAAACACCGTCGCCCGCGCGCAAACTACCGCAGTGCCCGCCACCCCGCCAAGCGTTATTGGCAACGACAACGACGATATCGAATCACCCCCACCAACACCGCACAAGCAGGTGTACTGCCAACCGGAGAAGCCACAGACGCGCCAAGCGGCGTCTTCGCGCCAACTCCACCCACACCAGCTCGCCCGTATCCTGGAGGAACCCTCGGTGTCGACAGAGGCCGATGGTGATGCCACGCGCCATCGCCACACTGTGGCGCACCTCCAAGACGCCGCCGCGTCGCCGCAGCCACAGCGCAGCCGAATTGCGCGCCAACTCTGCTTCATGGACTCGTCCGATGAGGACACCCCTGACAACCACCCGGATGATGGCATGCCCCCGCCGCTCTCGCCATCCCGTAACACAGCGCCCGCCAACGCCAACCCAGGGTCACAGGCCACGCTTCCTGCCACGTCCATTGAAGAGCTTGCCGCCAGCACATCTGCTGTTGAAGACATCCTCGAAGTTGTGCACCCGCTCCACTTGCCAGAGATCCTGCGGCTCGTCCTCAACAACCTTGAAGATGACATGGCCTCCATCATCACTTTTGGACTCGTCTGCCGCAGGGTGAGCGCCCGCTGTTGTGCGTGCGTATGTGTATGTGTGTCTGTGTTTGTGTCTGTGTGTGTGTGTGTGTGTGTGTGTGTGTGTGTGTGTGTGTGTGTGTGTGTGTGTGTGTGTGCGTCTGTGTGCGTCTGTGTGCGTGTCAGTATGTGTGCATTTTGCGCGCCATTTTGCTCAACACGCGCTCTGCACGTTAAGAACGCTCGTGCAACCCCCCCTCCCTTGCCCCTCTGTGTTTTGTCGTCAAACTCACCTAGTGCTCACATTGTGTCGTCTCCCTTCCTTCCTCTGCTGCTGTTGCGTACAGTGGTGGGCTGCGTTGATTGAGTACCGCCCCATGTGGGAGCGCATCGTGCCCAAGTACGTGCTGCCCTTCTTTCCACAGTGGAAGGTCTACTTTGGCAACGAGTCTGATGCGCGCATCGGCGCCCTGGCCGCGTACCGCCTCCTCGCCGCACACTGCTTCTTCTGCGGCAAGTCCACGCCGTGGTTCATGGCCATTGTTGGCGCGCGCGTGTGCCGCTCCTGCTTCCACAAACCAAACGGCCCCGTGGAACTGTGCACTGTCTCCCACGCCAAGGAAGTCTTTGGCATTGACGATGACGTGCTGCAGGTGGTGCCGCGCCTCGACTGCTCTGCCGCTGGTCTCGGCGCACCGGGCCAGGATAAGCTCACCCTCGTCGTCAAGCGCCACGTCCTCATGCAGACCCCAAACAAGACCGCAGAGCCCTCAAACCCAACGTGCGTGTTGTATGTATGTATGTATGTGTGTGTGTGGGGGGGGGTTGTTGTTGTTGTTGTTGTTTATGCGCGTGTGCGTTCGTTAGTCCGTATCTGTGTGTGCGTTCGTCTGTCCGTATCTGTGTTTATCTACGTGTGTGTGTGCGTGTGTGGCGTTCGTCTGTCCGTATCTGTGTTTGTGTGTGTGTGTGTTTGAACATTGTCTACGTCGCCCTCCTCCTGCTTTCTTCCATGCACAGCGACGCGCCACACACGATTGACTCACACTTCCTTCTTCTCCCCCTTCCCCACACCTCCCCTCCACCTTTTGTTCTCCATCCACAGGAAAAGGTCACGCAGCGTGAACCACATTGGGCAGCTGCAGGCCCTCGACATGCTCAAGCCCTACCAGGCCGTGTCCTACCACTTTGCAATCCCGTTCATCAGCGACTTTGTTGGCATTGGGGAGCACCGTTACACCGTGCACACGGAGGCGGAGCTGCGGCAGGCGCTGGAGATGCCCGAGTACAAGCGGTTCCCGCACGACGACATCCGCAAAATCTTCCTCTTCAACGACATCCACCTCAAACACACGTGCGACGTGCACATTCCAACCATCATCATCGGCGTGCCTGACCCCGTGACAAAGGCCCGCCCCCGCCTCACCATCACGGGCGCCAACGGCATCCTCGTCTCCCACCGCCACCTGCGCATTGAGAATGTGGAGTGTGCGCAGGTCGACGTGCCGCTGGACTCTTACATGTGTGCGCTGCAGGCCGACGAGTATGCGACGCTTGTGGTGGAGCGGTGTCGGGTGATTGCCTCTGGCAGCGCCGTCCGCGGCCTGGACAACTCGCTCGTGCACCTGCGCAACAACCACCTCGTCGGCATCACCGCCATGTGCATCAACAAGGAGTGGAGCGTCAAGCTGTGCGAGCGCAACACGCTGTGCTACTACGGCGAGTGGTCAGTGCAGGTCTGCTCCAACCCGCTTGAGCGGCCAATGTCATACCCGTTTGCAGACCTCAACGACATCACCTTTGACGGCACCCTCCCCGAGCTCATCTTCTCCACAGTTACAGCACCAGCACCCGCACCCTAATGTGGTGTGTGTGTGTGTGTGTGTCTGTCTGTGTGTGTGTGTGTGTGTGTCTGTCTGTGTGTCTGTCTGTGTGCGTGTGTGTGTGTGTGGGGGGGGGGGTGGTTTGAACAGTTGACATTTGCTTTGGCCCTTTTTGTAGCCATCTGATAGGCGTGTTCTTTCAACGTTTGTTGATATCGCAATACAATTGCAAGAAATAGAGCAGTCATGTGTGAAAAAAAGGAAAAAAAGGAAAAAAAGGAGACAGCAATGAGTGTGCTGATGCTGATAACAAGACATGAAAAGAAGATTTGAACCGTTTGTGTAAGTGTGTGAATGAATGAGTACAAGAGCATCACCATCACTGGTGATAGAGGGACTTGGCAACGCTGTAAACGCTCTTCTCTCTTCGCCAAAAGTCCACCGCGCCCTTGTGGTTCTCCCCGCCTGCAATCGAAGCGTGCATGGTTGTGTGCATGTGTGCATGAGTGTGAATTTTGGGTCGGGCAAGCGGTGGTGTTTCAGGAAGACGTGGAACAAAGCTACCTCAGTTTTACCACACACACACACGCACACACACACACACGCGCACACACACACACACACACATGCACGCACACACGCACACACACACGCACACACACACACCTGGCCTGTTGACGGACACGTCGATGTACGTGCAGTTCCATGGCACAGACAGCGTCGCAGGGTGCGGTGCGTACACACACGGGCCCGCGTCACGGGTGTCGCCGTCGTTGGCTTTGATGTCGGTGAGCTGCCAGATGGTCACACCCGAGACGGCCTCGCTGCCCAGCACAAACTCAATGTCCTGCTGCACAACCTGTGTTGAAGGTGGTGCAGTGTGAGGGCGGAGGGGGACAGGAGGGATTTGGGCATGATGAGGAGGTGGGAAACATGGTCACACACACACACAATCACACACACGCACACAATCAAACACACACACGCACGCACTCCCGTTCATACGTGCAGTACCCACAACACGCGCACACGAGCACATGCATGTAACCTCTGCCTGGTAGTTCTGCGACCACTTTGGGTCGGTTGTGTTCTGCCACTCGTACACGGCGCCAGCACCCGTCTCTGAGATGGTAAACGGTTTCGCTGAGGGGCAGTGCGCGGATGTGCATGTGTGTGTGTGTGTGGGGGGGGGATGATTTGGTAGGGGATAGCGGTTGGGATTGTGGGTTGTAAAACACGGATAGACAGTTAGAACCGTAGCCAGAACAGGCATACACGCACCAGCAGACACGCACCAGCAGACACTCACAAGGAGACACTCACAACATAAGCAGACACACACATCACACTTCATACACACACATCACACCGTCGCCGCCACCATGCGGACCTGGAAAGTGCTTCTTGACCCAGTCCACCTGCGTCTGCCAGAAGATTTTCGGGTACTTGATGTCACCGGGGTGGTTGTACCATGCAGGGTAGTCGTTGAACGACACCTGCAAGGTGATGGTGGTGCGATGACACACGGTTTGTTGTGGTGGTGGTGATAATGGCGAGGAGGTCAACTGCAGTGGTCGTAGCTGTAGCTGTGGCAAGCGGTAACACTTCAAAAAATGTCAACACGGCCAAGCAGACCATCAAGGCAGTCAGGGCGACACGTTTACACACACACACACACACACACACACACACACACACACACACACACACACCACGTCTGCGATGTGGAGGCAGACGTCGTTTGTGCGGGTGTCGCTGGCCCACGTGACAAGACGCGAGGGCGGAGAGCCAACACGTGCACGGATGGCCGATGCGCTTGCATTGTACCCAGGACACGCAGCGGGGTTGTCCGACGGACCTGCCGTGGTTTGTGTTCGTGATCGCAATTGTGATTGTGTGTGTGTGTGTGTGTGGTGTGTGAAAAGGAGGTGATGGACAAGGAAAACTCCCTCAACTCCCTCAACTGCCACGCGCACACGTTCACCTGTTCATGCATACACAACACAACACACACACAACACAACACAACACACACACAACACAACACAACACAACACACACACAACACAACACAACACACACAACACAACACAACACACACACACACACCCTCGTTGTAGAATGCGTGAAAGATGACGGAGGGGTGGTTAATGGAGGCCGAGATCATTTCGTTGACAGCCTGCAGTTGGTAGCGCATCCAATACGGGCTGGTCAAGTCCTTCACCGTCACACCAGGGCCCAATGTCTCCTCCCACACCATGATCCCATGCTGGTCAGGAGGAAGGAGGCGTGTATGTGCTGTGGGTGAGACTCAGTCAGTGAGAGAAAGTGTGTGTGCGTGCGTGCGTGCGTGTGTGTGTGTGTGTGTGTGTGTGTGTGTGTGTGTGTGTGTGTGTGTGCAAGAGGGCGTCTGTGTTATTACCAACACCACATCATGTCTTACATCCGCAAACCCCATATTCAACCCTCACTTCGTCACAAAGATCCAGAAACCGTTGGTCCTGTGGGTAGTGTGCGCCGCGCACGTAATTTGCGCCGACGTCAACCAAGATCGCCACATCCCGCTGCACCTGTGCGTGTGTGTGTGTGTGTGTGTGTGTGTGTGTGTGTGTGTGTGTGTGTGTGTGTGTGTGTGTGTGTGTGTGTGTGTGTGTGTGTGTGTGTGTGTGTGTGTGTGTGTACTGGTGTGAAAGCAAGACGACCACTTGTACACCCGCACGAAACAAAACCACCATACAGTACCCACGAACCCACCACAAATCAGCAAAGTGCATGCCGCCAAACCTGACCTGGTCGAGGGTGAGTGCTGAGCCCGTGTCCGGCCACATGGTGTGACGGTTGAAGCCAAGCAGCTTGATTCTCTCGCCGTTGATGTGCACGCGCGCATCAGACCCCACCGTCACCAGGCGCACGCTGGAAGGAGATGCGGTGGCGAGGGGGTCAGAATTGGGCACGAACGAAGAGCACGCCAATGCTGACCACGCATACTCATGCACGCACACACATACACACACTTTTGTACACAGGCGCACACTCGCACGCACGTGCACTCACGCACGTACGCACATACACATACACACGCATGCACTGCTCACCCGAATCTGACTTGCACGGCGTCCGCGCGGTTGTTGATGGCGACGGTGAGGGTGTGGAGGTGCGGGGATGCCGGGGACCAGAGTTTGGCGTTTGGAACGGACACATTCGCCAGCACCGCAACGCCGTTTGTGACAGGAACCTGCAATGTGTGTGTGTGTGTGTGTGTGTGTGTGTGTGTGAGTGAGTGAGTGAGTGTGTGTGTGTGTGTGTGTGTGTGTGTGTGTGTGTGTGTGTGTGTGTGTGTGTGTGTGTGTGTGTGTGTGTGTGTGTGTGGTGGGGAGTAGAGAACAGAAGGGAGACAGAGTGCAAGCAGAGAATGAATATAGCGTTGTGTGACTAAAGCGCAAGCCTCCCGCACCGCTCGGCGCATGGCGGATGACCAGAGCATCAGTTCGCACTCGATAAACAACTGGACATGTACGTACACACACACAGGTAAACAAAAGTACACACACATACACACATGCATACACACACATACACACACATGCAGTGAACGCACTTGAGAAAAGGCCTTGGTGCTGGTGCCGTCGAAGGTGAGGTTGAGGTTGACAGCAGATACGGACGTGTCACCGCCAAGAACAACGCGGACTTTGATGTCGCCGTGGAGTGAAAGCGTGAACGTCTCCACCTGACCATTGGAATGTGTGCGTGTGTGTGTGTGTGCGTGTGTACGTGTGTGTACGTGTGTGTACGTATGTGTGTGTGTGTGTGTGTGTGTTTGAAGAATGCACTCATGCCGTGCGATACATCCTGCATCGCTGCCTTGAATTGCTCGCCTTCCACCCCTCACTTCAACCATTCGCCACAATTCACCCCCATCACTAGTACTTCCACCATTCCCCGTCGCGGCTGCTAACGCCGTCTCACCTGCAAGATGAACGTCTCTGCAGGCACCTCGTGCAGGATTACATCGCGCGTGATGCCGCTGTAGTGGTAGAAGTCCCCGCCCTGCAATACACACACGTATGAACGCATGTGCACGCATGTGATTGGGTAGAAGGAAGCGCAGGAGGCGTGCGTGTGTGAAGTTGACGCACACACGCACACGCACATACTCAGTCACCGTGCAAGCGCAGTGGCAACACGAAACAACTGACAAAGCAAAGCCCGGCGCATTCCCCTCCCCCCCCCCCACACACACACACTGCACACAAGCCACACCGTGTGTGTTGGGGCTGTGGTGGCGTTGAAGCGGTTGTCCACGAGCACCACAAGTTCGCGTGTGTGGTTGGTGCTTGCAGGCACGTGCATCCAAAATGCCTGGTAACCTGCAAGCAGTGCAATAACATCCACGGTGAAAGAGCACACTTGTGTCGCCGCAGTCGTTGGTGCAAGCACGTACACAAGCAGATAATGGGGCGAGGCAAGCTATCATAGGCATTCACAGATAAAGCAAAGCGGGGCGTAGGAGGCAAGCTGCGCACACACCGCCAGCACGATGGTCGCCGAGCGCTTGGCCATCCACAAACACCTGATATGTGCATATGAGGCATGGGGGGGGGAGTGAGAGGGTGAGGGGGTGGTCTGGAGCGTAGTTGTGAGTGCGAAGACGAGCAAGTGCGGGGCAATCAGGCAAGGTCCAACAAAGAGAGCACATGCCAATACGCGCAGCACACAGCCGAACACATACACGCACATACACATGCACGCACATACACATACACGCACATACACATACACGCACATACACTACATACATACATACACCACATACACATATGCAACACAACACAAAGCATACCCTGCAGTAGAAGCTGCAGGCTGCAAAGTAGAGGAGGCCCTTGTGGTTTGGGGAGAGGTCAAACTGCCTACGGTAGAAGGCGGTGCCTCTGGGGCCCATCACACCCGGCTGGGCGACATCAAATGCTGCTGGCACGCTCATGCTCTCGTTGAACACGGCGTTCTTGATATCAAAGTTGATGGCATCCGGGACGTTGTCCAAGTACCCAAAGTCCCACTCGCCGTTCAAGATGGCCAACGTGCGCGTTGGGTATTGCGGCCAGAACGGCATCTTCGTCTGCCGTATCGTGTTGTGTATGTGAATGAGTGCGTATGTGCATGTGTATGTGAGAGTGCGTATGTGCGTGCGTGTATATGTGAGTATGTGAGTGTGTGAGTGTGTGAGCGTGTGTATGTGTATGTATGTGTGCGTGAGCGTGTGTGAGTATGTGAGTGTGTGAGTGTGTGAATGAGTGTATGTGTGTGCATGTGTATGTGTGTGTGTTGGTTGTTGGTATTTGCGTTTACATTGTGTTTGTATTGGCGCTTGCCACTTCACTCACTGCCACAGAAGCGGGCAACAAGCGCACAGCTCAGACCACTCCTCCCCTTGTTCTTCCTTTCCTTCCCTCCCTTCCCCTTTCCTCGCTGCCTGCTCACCGCGGCGTGCGTCGTGCTGCTCATGCATGCCGCAACTGCAGCCATGGTTCTCGCAGCAGCCACTGTCATCATCGACATTGTCCTTCCTTCCTGCCTTTCTCTTGTGTCTTTCCCCTGCTCCTTCTCTTCCCGATTTCTGTGTATGTAGTAGCGAATTGTCTACAACGCCAATCAAATTTGAATGAAGGCAATGTTGTTGTTTGCGCCCCACACCCACACCCACACGACACACACCCCTTTCTCTCCACTCCCATCAACAACAACAGCAACCGTCACAAGTACACACAGGTGCACACGCACACACAGGTGCACACACATAACCACACACACACACACACATAACCACACACATACAAATACACATACACATACACATACACATACACGCAGGTGCATACCACTACGTTAGAACGCAAGCGATGGCTGGGCGGCGTGGTCGT